TCCTCAGCTCTGCTGGCTGTTGAGGTAGCATCTACATTAGGTAAGTTGGATCGCTTCTCGGCCTTTTGGCTAAGATCAAGTGTACATCAGGTAAGTGGGATCAGAAAGCAAGGCAGTGATTGATTACTGTGGTCATCTGAAGAGTGGAGGCACATTTCCATGCTCTAATACATGCCCTGGGCTGCCTGGAAGAGAGAACACAGGCTATGTGATAGGCTTGAGGGAGGGGATCATGAAGAGTGCATCAGGCAGGGGTATAGAGGACTGGAGGGATGCAGGTGGATCAGAGGACAAATATTCAAATATTTTCTCCTTGTGGAAAGTGATGGAGAGGCCAAGGTTGAGTGGGAATAGAAGAGAATTAAGAGAAGAATCCTTCAGAGTGCGTGAATGAAGCCTGCCAGGACACCATCATTAAATTCTGCTCACTAGCCTACCCTTAACATGGGTAGGGGTATCACAGATTTTGGACCCTGTCCTGTTCTGTGTGGGGCCCAGCATGGCTTCATTATGTGACATATATTGTGTACTCAGATGTTGCTTCATGCAGTGCTCTTCCCTTGTGGTGGAGTCCAAAATATTGAGGCAGTATCATTGGCTGGAGCAGAGACAGTGCTTGGAAGCCAGAATGCCTGCATTTAAATCTTGGTTCTGCCACTTACAATTTGTTTGACTTAAGCAAGTTACTTATTTTCTGTTTCTGCATCTATAAATTTGGGACAATGCTTGTTTTATCCTCATAGCTTTGTTGTAAAGACAGAATGAGCTAATACATACAAAGCACTTAAAACAGTACCTAGCATACAGTGGTTATTCGAGAAATGTTAGCTTTATTATCATGGACATTTTCATCATCTTCAGAGATAGTTCATTCATAGCTTTAGACTTCTTAAACAAATTATAGATAGTCTCTTTCCATGTCTAAAGTACTTAGTCTCAAAACTTTTGCAATTTGATGGTGCATGCCTGTAGTCCCAGCACTTGGGAGGCTGGGACAGGAGAATTATGTGAGCCCAGGAGTTGAGACCAGCCTGAGAAAACTGCTTTTTTAATCAAACAAACAGACAACCCCCCAAACAAACAAAAAACCCTTGATTTGTCAAATTATGGGCAATACCGTATTTAAAAACAACAATAAAGGCTCATTTGTGAGTCACATCATAGTTTATTATAGATTGATCAGCAGAGGGAGGGTGTGATTCTGCTCCATAAAGTAATGCAGAAGTCCTGGCTCTTTGACCTGGGATCCATTATTGCCTAGGTCACAGTGGTGGTGAACCTATGGCACACCTGCTGCAGTAGGCTGTTTGTATCATTGAAAGCTCTAAAAGCCTTGCCATCACTGGAGCTTAGTGTTCTTCACTAGATCCACTCTGGAGGCAGTGAAGAGAGAAGGCTTAAAGGATCTCCCAAGGGTTACTCTTACACCATTTCTGACCATATTCCATTGACCAGAACTTAAGTCACATGGCTGACTTCAAAACACAGTATGTGCTGTGAAAAAGAAAAAGGATGCTCTTTGGAGAGCAATGGCTAGTCTTTGCCACATCTTTCAATATTTTATTATACTTAATTCAGATATTAATGTTAAAAACTATTATGAAAAACACTGAACAAATACAAACCTGGAGAAGAAACCATGATAAATCTCTATGACATATCATTAGGGCTTAGTTTTTATCTTGAGGCCAGTCTTGCTTGCTTCATCTATACTTCCATCCAATTTTCCACTTCCACCTATTTTACTTTGAAGCAAATCCAAGATACTGAATCATTAAATCTCTAACTATTTCAGCACAGTACATTAAAAAACTTAAGTGTCGGTGACACTATGTGTTAGAATATAGTAAGATACAATGTTTGTCCTTAAGGAGTTGTAGTTGAGTGGGGAAACTTTAAACCTTACTGTGAGGAGTCAAACTGACTTCCAGGATAGGCTCAAAAACAAACAAAATAAAACAAAACCTTGACACACTAAGGTGACAATAATTAATAACCTTGTCTTACCAGTGAGCTTCCTTAAGCACCTTCCTTGTTCCCTGAGCAGCTCCTGTGAGAGCCATTGTGGCTTAGGAGCTCTGTGGAGCATGAGCTGTCAGTAGAGAAGCCTGATAATGAAATGGCTGCTGAGAGAGACCCTTTCTGGTCCATTCAGCTCCTGGGGCTTCCACTAAGCAAGGGCCTCAGGCTTCAATTCTGTCTTTTCTTGGAGGTGGGAAGAGTAAGAGGCCTTTACGGGTTAAGAGGCAGAATCTTAATAAAAAAGAAAGTGCGTGTTGACAGCTTTGCTGGCTCTAAGCTCCCTCTAATCAGAGCTTAGGACACTTTAATGGGTCACTAACCTTGCCCCAGATGTTCTGTCACATGTCACCACCACAGCAAGTCAGAGAGAGTCAGGAATACAATACTGTCTGCATCTCCTGCCTCCTTCAGCTCTCTCCACTCTGAGAGAACCTGCCGGGTGAAATTCAAATGCAACCGGGTGGGCTTGAAAATTAGGTAAGTCAACATCAGGTAAAACTAAAGCTTTATATTAGAACGATGGATCTCATGTATATAATTCACATCAACTGCAGTTACAGAATTTTCACTCACATGAGTAGTGGGTTCTCTAAAACACATGTAGAGATGTTGCTTCTGCTCTGAGGTATATCTTGTTAAGACAACTAGAATCACACGTAGAGTTACTTCTGCATTTAGGGAATGATTAAGTAATAGCTTCAGTAGCCCTTATTACAATCTAGTACCTCAATGTAGTGCACAGCAGGCTGAGCTGGGCATGGACCCTTTGTCTGTACTCACCTTCTGATAGATGCAGGAAAGCAGAGGCCCAAAGGAGTGACAGCCTAAGCAGACTTCTTCTGAGTACAGGGGCAGTCTGCTACCCATCAACTCAGAATCTTTGCTTGTCCCACCCACTCATCTATTTCATTATAGATGCCAGGAGAGAATAAAAATACTAGTTCCAAAACGGTTGGAGAATGGAGTACGGGCAAGATGAATTGAAGACCATGGTTAACAAGAAGTTCATCCTCAGAGTGAGCCTGGATGAACAATTTCAAATAATCAAATACTCTAAGGATAAATGGACTCTGGTCATACAGTTTGGCCCTCCAGAATGGTAAGACTGACCAGAGGCTGGAAGAAGACTTCAGAATGAGGCAGTCCTGAATGCAAGTCTTGATTCACTCAACTGTTCATTAGCCATTTGCCTTGCAAATAATGTAACCCCAAAGTATCCCAGCCATGAACAGATTAAAGGAAATGTTGGCTGTAATGTTTTTATAATGATAAAATACAGCAATTTTGTAACTACTTAACATTTTATGATAGTTGAAATTACATGTGAAGAATATAATGACTCCAAGATTTCTTGAACATAGTACTTGTTATCTTTTTGCATAACATAGCTGGTACCCAATGTCTGATAGTAATCTGAGGTGACCGCATCACATTTACCTTTCTGGATCCTCACTGAATAATTCTAGTTAGTCAAATCACTGATAGAGATAAACTGAAATTTTCACCAAATCCCACAGAGATGCCCCAAGTCTCTAGTTTATTCCAGAATGTCAAATACATATATTATAATTTTTCTGTATGCCACCATGTGAAAAAGATTGGAAAACATGTAATTTCTGTGAATTTCATCTGAAAAATTAGAATAGTATTGAATATATGAAATAATATAGAATAAAACAGAATAATAATATCTCAGAGTATTTGAGGATGAAATAAGTTAAAATATGTAAATCACTTGAAGTAGTGTCTGGAACACAGAAATGAATGAGTAATAGCAACCATTTTTGCCAGAGATTTAGCTCAGTGGTGCGGCTGCTTGCCTTGCAAGTGCAAGGTCCCGAGGTGGATCCCCGGTACCATTTTTTTTTTCTTATGTGTAGGACAGAAATAACAATACTTACCTGATAGGGCTGATGTAAAGATTATACATGTTAACAAAGTCTTTGTAAATAGGGGGATGGAGGGGTTAAAGGGAGGGCAGGGGAAGGGGGAAAAAATCAGAACCAAGACAGATTACTTAAAGGTGCAAATTTCCAATGATGAATGTCATTATATTGTATATCTAAAATGTACCGATAAAATTAATTTAAAAAAGATTATACATGTTAAGTATGCCTCATATATAGCAGGAGATCACTAAGTGTGAGCCATTTGAATTAGTTCAAATGTGCATGACTCTTTTATTAGTTTCACTAGAAGCTACATTGATTCCGCTTCGGGACCTTGTATAATTCCAGAACTATAGAAACAGACTAATGAGTGGAAATTAATTTTGCAAATCAGATTTTACAAAGCAATTTTGTGTCTACCTTTTCAAAACATCTCCATTTTAAAGGTAAGAAAACTAAAGCCTATACAGCTTACGTGGCTTGCCAAGCTAGCAGTAGGCCAACTGCAGAATTGCAAGCAAGACTCAGGTTTATTGACTCAGAGTACAGTGATTTCTTCACCAGACCACACTGCTGAAGTAGAGCTCCTGTATATGGTTGTATGACAGAGTATAGACATTGTGGATTTGTATATAAGATACTAACTAATTTTCTGGCAGATTGCAGTATGTTTTGTTACAAAAATCAGTATATTAAAATATTTGTGTTAAGGAACACATTCATCCAATTTGTGCATACATCACTACCATACTTCAGTTTTTCTCTCATGATTCAAAAGTTTACTTACAAATTTAGGCACTGGGTATAGGTTGACAATTACTGATAAAAAATTTTTGATTATCTGAATGATCAATAATCTCTTGAAACAACATAAGCCTTGATGTTCTCATTCTTGGCCTTGTGACCCATCAGCACATGGTGGCTAAACTGTGAGGTACATTTGCAAATAATTTCCAATGTTTGTGGCCAATACTTACAAATATAATGAAATAGATCAGAAGGGACTTGTCATGGTAGATATTCATCCGTACCTGATTGCTTGAATAGAAAGGAGTCAGGTCTAATGCCAAGGGGGTTGTCATGTTATTACCCCCTCCCACACCTCCAAGAAAACCCTGATGCCTCAGGTCTCTTGGCCTCATTATCTACAAACCTCTCTTCTTTTAATTTAGCTGGAACAAAGCTGTGATTCTCTGAAAGAAAGCAGCTTTACTAGGAAGCAAATGTGGGAAAGAAAACAAACAAAATAATTTATAAATATAAACAAGTGGTTTTAAATAGCCTGTTAATTAGGTAAGGAATTTTTCTGTTGTAACAGGTCTAGAAAAAGACCTGGTCACTTGGTCACAGATAGGTCCTTGTTCCTCTTGCTACCAAATCAGGCTGTCCCGGATCCTTACCTAGATAACTTCCAGTTGGCACCACTTATGACCCTGTTAGGATTTCAAGACTCTACCATGACTGTTCTCAGAAATTTAGGGGTAGAAGAGAACTCAGAAGTTACCCACCCTCTTATCAGGCCAGTGTATGAGGTGCCACAGCACAGCTAGCTGTCCTTTAGAGCATACTAAGTAACTTCTGAGCTCTGGATGATCCAGCCAAGCAGGTACTTCCAAATAATTGGAACATCTGCAATAACCAAACTTAGAAGTATTAAGCACCTGTTGCCAATCCTTTCTAGAGACATAATCTTGAAGTTTTCTATCTAGTCTAGAGTTTATAAGCTAATGAGGCAGAGAACAAAAGTAGCCACAGCTATACTTGGTCCTTTTACTATTTTATAGATGTTAAAATTAAACTGCTGCACTTTAAAAATCTGAAGATTATGCATAAAAACTGGATTTTGTTTGTCTAGAAAAATAAAAATCTGCTTGTATTATGTCCTTAGGACAACAATCAGCTGAGGCTGAACAGTTGCTACCCCTTTAGATATGTGGAACCCAACCTGACAACCACTTTTGCAAATCTTGAATAAACTCAACCAATTAATTCCACAGATGAAGAAAATGAAGTTCTACAAAACCATTTGGCCCATCTACATTTAATGGCACATTCAAAATCAGAACACGATGTTCAGAATCCCATTTCAATGATCTTCAGAGACCTGTTGATTTTTCTTTAGAGAACCTGAGATTCAGGGACATTACCTTCTTGTAGGCACTATGATGAAGGGAAACAAAACTGAGAACTCGGTCTTCTGCCTTTGCTCATACCACCCTCCATTTCTCTTGCAGAGTCAGACATTTCTTGGGGCTGCAATCTACTAGGGAGTGTGACTAGTCAGGACCGCTAGGCCCCATCATTCCTCAGGCTGCTGACCACCCCCACAGCCTACAGTGTCTGTGCTCACCAGACAAAGTACTGCACATTCCCAGCCTCCACAGATGCTCCCATACCCAGCTGGGTTATGAACAAATATGTTGCATTTTTTTTGCTTAATGGCCTTTTCCTCCACCCACACAGGCAGTTAGGGAATAATAGCCTCCATAGGACACTGACGTGGGAGGAGAGGTTACGGAGAACAGTTAATGATGACAACAGTTATGGCAGGGGGTCATTAGGAGCTTGGAACTCTTCCTGGCTCTCTCCCAAAACATCAAATGGCCATGGTCAGTCTTTAATACCCTTTTTAAAATGTGTAAGCTCTGTTCAGAGTGACATAGTTTTATATAAAAGTGTGGCCCTAGCCACACTCTCGAGTATAGTGACACTGATTTATAAAAATCTTGGAATTCTTTAGCTTAAATAGATATGAATACATAGTACCTTGGTTCATTATAACTTAAGTCCACAAATATCCTACCTAAAAACTTCCCACAAAGCTATCTGATTCCCTTTATCTCTTTCAGATGCTAATGGAAAAATGATAATCTATAAAAGCAATTAGCATTATGAACTGTATGAGGAGTGGAATAGTACAAGGAAATCATTCACATGAGATCACTCTAAAGGTAGTAGAAATACAAAATAAGATGGTCTTAAGGCTAAAAAGAGAAAGCAGGTGGCAACTGAATTATTCAGCTTTGCCACCTCAAGTCCAGTTCAGTTGTCACCTGGCTGTCTGTTTCTGACTTGCATAGAGAACAAAAATGATGCACAAAGGGCAAATAATGTTAATGACAGTAAAACCAGAGAACTTTCTAAGGCCTGCCTCCGCCCCGACAAGGATCTTGGACTAGGTCTGCCATGTTTCCATGAGGGAGACCACTGTCAGGAACAAGTATAGAGGTATAGTCTTCTTTGTGTTCCCCTCAAGGCACTGCACTTAAAAATATCCCTAGACCTTATCTGGCATAAATTATAATGGGTGTGGGCTGGGGATTTAGCTCAGTGTTTCCGCCACCTGCCTTGCAAGTGGAAGGACCCGAGTTCAAACTCAGGTACCAAAAAAATATATATATATATAATATATATATATATATAAAATGGGTGTTATAATGAAGTTTCCCAAACTTAACCCCCACACCATACATCCATTCTGTATAGGTCTATTAATCCCACTGTAGTGTCCTGGGAGCTCAAATGAAATATCCCACTGTTGGCTGTGGCCAAAGGAGACCTGTGCACTTCCCCTCAAGTAGGAGAGGTTTATTTTCAGTGAACTTGCAGTAAGGCAGAGGAGAATCTTCAAGACACTATTTAGATCGCAATGTTTCTCCTCCTTACTGAATAAATAATGATTGTTTTTGCTTAAAACTAAATGATGACAATAATCATTCCAGGAAGTGTTTTTTAAAATGTGCATTTTCTCTTTTAAACTTCAACTCCCCCAGAAGCTGGGGCTATTCATTTTCTCAACTTTATTAAGAGGGAATCTGGTAGTACTGGCTCTACGCAGCAGGAAAAACTAAAGGTCAAAGAGGGAAGCAATTAGTCTCTTATTCATTTGGGACACAATGAAACCCAGGATTAAGACTGGGAGTCCATTTACAACAGGCTTGAACACAATCAGTATTCTAGTTAGTGCTATATCAGGCAAGAGTGGAAAGCCAGGACAGCCTTGATCAGGCCTTGGTGGACTGCTTGTCATTAATACTTACATTCCATTTTTTGCAGAGTGTGTGTGTGTGGGGTGTTGTGCAGATCCAACCCAGGGGCACTCTACCACTGAGCTACATTCCCAGCCCTCTTTATTTTGAAACAGGGCCTCACTAGATCTCCCAGGCTGAGCTTGAACTTGCAATTCTACTGCTTTAGTCTCCTGAGTGGCTGGGATTACAGGAGTACACTGTGACACACAGCAATATATCCAGGATCCTGTTGCCCATATTCAGTGAGTCCAGGCTAATAATCCAGTTCTTAATAAGGTTTTTTCAGAAGTGAGTCATCTAACTAGGAAAAGATCCAAGTCCTCTTAATTTAATCCTAATAGCAGGGCTTTTAAGTACTAAGTTTTTGTGGAGGAAAGTACACCAAAGGTGAGCAAATAGCAGCTTTCTCAAAATGACAGAAGGAGTAACCATGACATACATGATGATCTGCAAAATAGTGGCTCTAAAAGTTTCTGAGAAATATACGGTCAGCAGTATTCCTTAGTCATTCACATCTGCACACTTAACAGTTTTGTTCTTCACCTTTTTGCCTGCTTGAGGCTTACTGGCTTAGCTATTAAGGCCAGTCTAAACAGGGGCTATCACAGAAATAAGTCTGCCCTACTTCTCCCGCATTCTCTCATTGTTAAGTCTCACCCTGAGAGCTTCATTTCCTGTATGACGGAGTAAGCCGCCTATGAACCAACCTAACAGGTAACAACTATACACTTTCAAAAACCCAAAAAACTGCCTAAAGGTACTGAAGACTGAACAAAACCCAGGCAAATTTTGGAGAGAAGCTGAAACTTGGAAAAAGAGACTAGCACAAGGTAAGTTTCCCATCTTTATGTCTTTTCAGGCTGATAGAAAGATGCAGTCTTTCTGGCTGAAGAATTAGAGAACACCACAGAAACAGCAACTACAGATGATGGAAAGTAAGAGTGGAAATCAAAGGAGAGCCAAAGAAAAGTAAGTAGTCTTAAATTCTTTGTATAATCTCTACCCAAATCTTGGGTTCACTCCTTGAACAGTTTCCAGCTAAATATAGAACTGAATTGAGATTTGAGTTACTGCCTAAGAGAGTTTATAAGTTGAGTCCAATAAAGTTAAATGCCAACTAACATAAATTAAGAAATCAGCATTCTTCAGAGGAATATAACAGAATCTACAACACATTTACAATGTTCAGGACTTGATCTAAAATTACTCAACATATGAGGGGCCAAACCAAACCAAAACAAAACTGATAAATTCTATAAAAAAAAAAAACAGTGAAGGCTAATTTTGAGATTATACTGATGTTGGCTTTATCAGAAAAGGATTTTAAAGTAGTTACTACAGCCATATTCAATGAAGGAAAACATGCTTGTAGTGAATAAAAAGAGGCAATCTCAGAAAAGAAATAGAATTAATGGAAAGTCAAGCACTAAGATAAAATATCGAAAATTAAGTCTTTGCCTCCATTTCAGAAACAGTTCTTCATTTATTTCCTTCATATTTCTTTTCTTTGGTCCTTTTGCTTATGGAACTGGGTCAACTTAGAACTGAAAAGAGACTGATTTATCTTTAGCTCTCTACAAAGGCACAAATCAGATCTACAAATCAGATCCACAGTTACTGATATTCTGATGACAAAAGAGATAAACAGCAGAGTAACTCATATTCAGAAGTACCTCTTCTTAGTTGGAGATTCTGTTCAATGTTTTTTTTTCCTTTGGTGGTACTGGGGATTAAAGCCAGAGCCTTGCACATGGAAGGAAAACACTCTACCACTGAGCTACATCCTCAGCCCTTTTCAGAATTTTACTGTGAGACAGGGTCTAAGTTGCTTAGACTGAAATTGAATTTGCAGTCCTCCTGCCTTGTCTCTTGGGTAGCTAGGATTACACGCTTGCACTACCACACCTACCTTTTCCAGTGGTTTTTATTTGTTCCAAAACTAAATGGCAAATTGCTTTACTTGACAGTGTAGGTGGTTACTTTTGCTCTTTGGGAAGGTGTGACTTGAGAGGTGAAAAGAATTTTGGGATGTTTGAAATATTTTATATACAGATATTTTCACTTAGGTTAGTGAGTTTTCCTTTCTGAGATCCCTGATATTTAATATCAGGCCTAATATTGGCTCCTACATGGACAGAGTTTTTCCTTTAGAACACAGAACATATGCTATGAAATATTCATGCAAAGAATCTGTAGGAGACACACTACCCACAAACAGGGACTGTTCTTATGAGGAGAAAAGTGATGTTTAGAGAGAGGGTATCTAACTTTTATCTTCTCAAGTGATTTCAACATGGAATTACTAAAAGAAAATATTAGACCAGATAATCTCAAGTCTGTTTTGGGTCTCATTCTGGTTGCTTTTTCCTTTGTTCACAAAATTCTACATACTATGAAATACACAATTCACAAAGTCAACTTCCCAACTCCAAAGATTCTTGGGATTATCAAAAACAGATGATGACAGGAAAGGGCACAAATTGACTCCTGTGTACAATGACAGAACCCTCACAGGCACAAAAAGTGACAACAGCCATAATAAGAAAGATTCCTGAACAAACCTGGTTAGTTTTTAAAATGGACCTAACAGTTTCTCCAGGAGCAATGAGTATGATTATTTCATTCAAATAAAACAAACTAACAATGTCTAAAAAGAATGCAAGCTCCCAAAGAATATTCTTAGTAACTGTGTTATATCTAACAACTAAAATCAGTTTTCAGTATTAAAATAGACCAATGTCTCTTCCAGTAAAGGCCTGATTAATCACTCAATAGAAGAAACTAAAAAAAGAAGCTGAAAAACTATAAAACTCCTCTATTTATCAGAGTCCTACTATAAATATGACCACCACATTATCCAGTGATATAAACTTCTAGAAACCTTACAAAATTCCTTTTTAAAATTTATTTTTTGTTATCAAAGAGAATGTCCAGAAACATTGAGTACTAAAGAATTTGTTCATGGCATTGTTTTACAAAAGTTCCTAGTGGAGAGTGAATTATTTTATTTTCTAATGTATCCTTTACTTATTAATGATGAGGTGGATGAACTGATGCAATTACTTAAAAAAAAATCCAGACAATCCTATAAAGGAAAAAAAATTCGTTCTCATTTTGAATCTGTTGATTGGAGTGAATTCAGTGGTCACAACACCACCACTGGCTAAGAATCAACTTCCCCACAGCAGGGAACTGGTTTGGGTCTTCTCAATAAGTCATATAGATCTCTCAGATATAGGCACCATGTTTGAAGTCTCACGCAAAATGTCTGTGTCACTTAAATTACACAATGTGGCAGTGTTTGGTTCATGGGGACATAATATTTAAAGGGCAAAGTAGAAAACAATCTGCTTGCATGTTATGTGTGAGTACATCACTGTACTGTGGGTGGGTTTGAGGGCATTAGCCCTTATTATAGAGTAATTCCACCAAGAAAGTATCTGTCAGTTCCCAGTTGCTCACTGTTAGGTCAGGGCCTTCTTCATCTATGTTGACTGAAGTGGTTCAAACTAAGTTTGGCTGTCCATCTCTTACACCTGAGTTTTATTTCTCAGCCTCAGGGTATGTGGGGTACTTCACGGTTTCTATTTTCTCTCGGACTTTGTAGGAGGGATATAAACCTGTTCTTCCCAGTTTTTTGTTGACTCCTTTAGAATAGCCATCCCAATGATTTCCAGCAACACCAATGATATCTCCAGGTTCCATGGGGATTTCCTCTTCAGTTCGAGGTTGGTGAGGATAAATAGCAATCTGGTTGTGGGCATTTTGGCCCCCAAAATAGTAGATGTCATCTAAAGAATGAAAGTTTGCAGAGGCATCAGGATGCAGGGTTTGCATGATTTCATAAGCAACTCGACAGACCTTGGGAGAAAGTGAAAAGAAGTTTGTTAGTATAATATATAAGTCACTCCTTCATAGCAATCTGAAAGCCTTGGCCAAAGACTGGCTCTAGGACTGAGAGGGCTGAGAAGTAGTGGCTTCTGGTTGTAAGCTTTCAACCCACTTGCTGTCTTACAATAGTATAAGTTATTCTTAATCTTTGTGCTTATATGTATGAAAAACATACACACCCAAAAGATTATTATAGTTAAGGTGTGGGGACTATATATTGTGAGAAGTAATTGAAAATATACAATCAATCGGTTGGAAAAACTGGATTTCAACCTGCCAAAGATTAAAACTAGACCCATACCTATCACCATGCACTAAACTAAGATCAAAGTGGATTAAAGATCTAAATATTAAGACAGAAACACTAAATTTGCTGGAAGATAAGATCCCAGTTATTGATTCTTTGTGCCATTTCCTGTGCTACTGAGGTTTTGTTCATAAAGTCTTTTCCTATGACAATGTCATCAAGAGTTCTACCTAACTTATCTTCCAAAACAAAACTGAAAAGCACTTAAACATTTTTCCATATAACTTAAAAAAGCATCTCAGGCACCAACAAGACACCAGAGGATATGATTTGTTTCAGAAAGATCCCCAAAACCAACACTGAACAAATAGTGGTCTGGAAAAAAAACTCCAGTTAGCAGACTCCACATAAGACAAGTTTTGTTTTGGTTGAGTTCTACTGTATTTGAATATTATTGTAGTTTTTTCCCCCCTTGCATTGTTCTTTGAATGGTTTTAATTTCTGTATGTGTGTGTGTGTTTGACAATAGTTATTTTATAAAAGTTTTTAAAATGTAATCAATCAATTAATTTCAGCAAACTTTTATTAGGAGCTATACAGTCATCCAGCCTGGGCACTGTGACACCAAACTGAGTCTGTGCGTTGAAGAAATTAAGGTTTAGGATTAAGACTGCAAATATTTAATATAAATGCTATTACTCTTTCCTTCATCCACCGTGAATCACTTTTTCTTTTTCGCTAATTTAGTACTTGGTTTAAGAACCTTTCTTGACAGAGATTTATGTAATTATTGACAATCAACTTGCCTTGGCAACTAAGAAAACAGTCACCATTTCTGCCCTAAAGAGTTTTAAGTGTGTGGTGTGAACAGTAGCACAGCCGGACTGACATAAACTGGGCTAGTCTCTGGTGAGATGCGTCTATCTGATTAGTGCAAGTTTAGGGCTACTTAAAAGATTCCTCTGTCCAAAGTTTATCTTCCTTGCTCACTGAATGACAACTGAAATTCCATAAACTGAGCTTCATTCTTTCAGCTTAATCCTTTGTGATAAAGTTAAAGTGTAGCTATTTCTACAAAGAAATAACATTTTAAGGAATTAAAAAAGATTCAGTATAAGGTAAATGGGCTTCAGAAATGAGTTTCAGAATCTTTTCTGAGAACAGGTGAAGACAGATGAGAAAACTGTCATTTTGCATAGAAAAATTTTCCTTAATACATCCTGAACCAAAAACACAACTCAGTTTAAAATTTCCTGAATCTTTAGTTGTGGTCATCTCAGTTAATGAAAAACTGAATGTAAATGATGGTGGGTTTTTTTTCTTTCTGGTACTTCAGAAACTAAGATGGTGGCAGGTGGTGGTGGTATCTAAAACCTTATGAGGAATCTGGATTGAGATTTAACACTCATACATGCAATTTTTGCAACATCAAGCCTTCCATTTTTCTTCTTAGCATGGACTTTCATTGTTCTTATATTGTCTACGATCATGAAGGGTCACCAGATCATTTCTTTCTCATTGTTGCCATTTACTATAAAATTCTTCAAAGGTTAATATACAGAAGACAGAAAGTTTACATAAGACAACTTAAGGACTGTTGAGGCACTAAGAAGATATGAAACTTGTACCACTTTCTAATCATCTGCTAGAGCATGAGGCTATCATCAAGAAAACTTCAGAGTCAGTTGTTTGTTTCATTCTGGGGTGAGATTTGGTTCACAAGATTTTATCTTTTGTCAATCTTCTGGATGTATGGCTTTAGTCTTCTCCTACTTTATAGCATGCTTGTGGCATATATAACAAAGTCTGAAGATTAATTTCCCTAAACTCAACACGTGTATGAGATGTGATTGAAAATTAAAGTAAAAGATGCATCACCATTAATCACCCTCAAAATATTCCCCTTTTACTTTGAACATACACCTCATCATTCTTGCCACTTTCTGAAGCAGTTCTGAAAGTCCTCTTTTGTGAATATAGTATCTTGAGTTGTGCTGTTGTGGCTGCCTTGATATCCTAAATAGATTAAAAAATGTTCGGTGTTTACCTTTCATGGTCATTTGACTTTGAGGAAAAGTCAGTAGTCACAAGGTTCCAGATTAGTCTGTGAGGTGGATGAGGACACATCGTAGTGTTTTTAGGGTAAGGGTTAAGGTTAGGGCATATAAAAGTAGGTAATATGTTTAATATATTGCTAAGTACTATTCTTGTTGGTTTACTTGTAATAACTCTTTAGTCATCACACACAAAAAAACTATACAGTAGGTACTATTGTTATCACTGTCTTTAAAAGTGAAAAAACTAAAACAAAACACCGTAAGTGAGAGACAGGCTATGGAATTCGTTCAAGGTCTCCCAGTCACTCTGTGGTCACTCCTCTTCTCTGCCAGTGAAGTCGATGGGTTTGATCCTGTGATAGGGTCCTCATACCCTATTTCTGAGACATTTTAAAAATGATTCTAATATGGATATATGGCAAGATATAATTCTCTATAATCCAACAACCAATTTCATTCTCGTTGTAAAAATAATAAACTGTATTAAATATCTCTTTCTTAAAATTATTTGCAAAAATATTGAGGTGCAAGTTAAGTCCAGAGATTAGCCATTGAGTGTACAGTCACTTCACAGCTGTGACTGTTACAGCTGTTCCTCATCAAATAAGGCAGTGATGGCAAACCTTTTAGAGCTTTCAATGATACAAACAGCCCACTGCAGCACACATGCCCTAGGTTCGCCACCACTGAAATAAGACATGATATATGGAGGTAGTCACATTTGACAAACTGCCACTCAATACATAAATACAAGGCATTTTTACTATAAAGCTTTTATTCTGAACACTAACATTAAATATTTTAGGTATTCAAGTTTATATTGGGGTATAAAATATTGCTTTGGTTCAAATGAGCAGAAATTATTTTGAATGAACTATGACTAGCGAGGGTTTTTGGGAATAATATAGTACATGAACATGAAATCTCGTTCCCTAGGATACAAAAAGTCTTTGTGAGCACCAAGATTTCTTCATATGAAATGCTCCCCTGAACCCAAGATCATAACACATTGAGATTGATATTATGCATAAAAACAGCAAAGAAGTCCGATCTTCTGCTCGAGCCTGGACAAAATTCTACCATTATAAAATGATAGAGGTCCTGATTTCTGAGTCAGAATTAGAGTTATTAGGACCAAAAATTCTAAAGTAGAAATTTAAAGGAAAAAAGCAGCTGAGTGTGCTGGTGCATGTCTGTATTCCCAGCTACTTAGGAGGCCGAGGCAGGAAGACTGCAAGTTTAAGGATAGCCTAGGCAACTTCTTAAGACCTTGCTATATATCTTGACGTGACCTATGTCATATACATATTTATTTAATTTTAGAGCTTTACGACTAGAACAGTGGTTCTCAACTAAGGTAATTTTGTCTCCAGGAGACATCTGGTCATGTCTAGAGACATTTTTAGTCATTACAACATGAGTTGGGGATGCTATTGGCCAAAGATGCTACAATGTACACTGTACATGGCACACTGTAAAGATGCTACATTGTACATCCTACAACGCACAGTACAGCTCCACATAACAAAGAATTATCTGGCCCCAAATACCGACAGTGCCTAGATTGAGAAAGCCTGGACTGGAACAACCGATTTCAGACAGGCCTAAACTCTAGATATACAGGGAAGATGGTATATGTGGGAAAGTGACTCAGTTCATTTGTTCTAACAGTAAGTTTCAGGTATGTGTGAGGTTCTAACTGACTACACAGACCTGTTGATCATGTAGGTACATAGTTAAGATTCTCAGAAATAGCTGGGAGGGACCAGGTACATCATATATACCCCTGACCACCCGATCACCACTGCCAGGAAAAAGGAAAAGAAGCTTCTCAAAGATAGGATCCTTACCCCAGTTAGTGGAAAACAGCAACAGTGGATCCCTTCCTGGGAACTTGAAGACAAGGAAGATTTCTGTTCTGATTAGCATTGCTGTTACATGACTCCTGTTTTATATAGCTGTCTTTGAGTATTAAGTTGTATTTTTATTCCCTACAGAAGAAACCTACAGCCTTTGCCTGGATATCTTTCTGAAAATCTTATCAGCATCCCATTATGACAATATACTTTCTCATGTAATAAAAAAACTGTCCATTTCTTTTTCTCTCTGAAACATATTCTCATGGAAATGATGTGGCTTTTCTTTTTCATGTTTTCTATGCTTTCCTCTCAGCATTGAAACCTATATTTCTCACACCAATTTTTATTTTTGATAATTATTCTCTAGTTGTTTCATGTATGTATTCTGATTCTGAATGAAGGGCAGAACTATATCTTCAATTTCCCCTCTGCCCTAGCATAACTCTGAGTACAAATAGCAGCTGTTTAAATGAACTAACCAACAATATGTGCATAAATGAGAAAGGAGAATAAAACTGACAATAAATGTTATATGGATACTCCACAGGTCACATAACGCTGATTGAACCACTTATAAGCCACATCACCATCCTATAATCAATAACTATACGCAACAATTAAACTTAAAGAATGAATGTGATATTGTATTAAATTTAACATACAGTTTCTTGCTTACAAATGTAATACAGAACTTGAAAATGAATTACACTTACTCTTTCTTCTTTTCTATAAGGCAATCAAGTGAGGAAAAATGCTTGGCATTTAAGTCTCTTAGTGTACTGATGTGTTGAAATGGATGGATTCTGGTTACATATTGACTATATGCAAAATCTAAGTGCGCTTAATTACTCAATTTCTGCTAAATGCTGTGAACAAGTTAAGTACATCGAACAACTCCACCAACTGGCCTTAATGAAGATGTACTCAAAAATGGCCTGCAAACAGCTAAGTATTCAAAGTGCTCAAATAGTTATGGAATCTCTTCATTCTTTCATAAAAGGTATCATTACTAACTATAAGGAAAATAGTACCTAAGCCATGATAACTAACACTAAAGACATCCAGACACATGAATAATATTTTTTATAATGCCAATATGACCAAAAAGTACTGATCATTTAAATGTCCTCTACTGCTACTTACCTGGGATGAAAAAGTACACACGAGGAAGTCTGCCTGGGACAGAAAATGTATATCCAAGATCACACCCCGAAGGGAATTTTCTGTGTACCGATTGTGCAGTCCAGCCGACCAAGAGATAGAGTTATCACTAATAAATTCATAATTGGGGTACCTGAGGAAAAAATAAATTTACACATGGTCACTGCAGTCACAGTATCTTATTGGGAAATTTGTTGTTTTGATCAAGAGTTCCTCTATAACAGTGAGAAGCGATTCAGTTATGGGAATCAGTAATGCACTATAGCTTCTGAGGCATCTTTGAACGTACCGTGGGCAGAAACCATTCTGGAATGTCCTGTGTATTAAATATTATTGGTATAACATATAAAACACACATCAAAACATCCTTTATCAATTCATGAAAGAGTTAAAACTTAAGACTCCTTATTATGTTTGTAATGAATGCCCTTCTAAGAGTTTATTCAAGCTGTTTTCATATTTGATTACTGAACTCTTGCTTTAGAACACATCATGACAAAATGTCATTTAAATTTTTAATTTATAATTTGTGATAATTCAGATTTTAGATGAACTCTGTAAATATCTTCACTGATATTACAAATTAATGATGCAAAGGAATTAAGAGATGAATATTTTTAAAATGTGTGAGAACCAACAGTCTACTTGCATTCTTTCTGAAGAATCATCTGCTCTTAACCAGTAACAATAATGGAAGGCCATTCTCATGAATTTATGAACCAAATTCCTTGCAGGTGCCCACCAAGTAATATGTTGGTAGTCTTATTTGAGATAGGATATATGTTTAAAAATATTAAAATGGATCGTCTTTAAGAAGTACCACCTGTTCAAATGATTCTCCTCTGAATCAGCTGTTTAGCATCTCAGTACACGAGGTACATCTTCAGTGTGAAGTGGTAAACCTTGGGCAGTTACATACAAAGGGGATAAAAACTTTATGTGCTTTATATAATTTCATAAGAATTAATATATAGTGACATAAAGTGCTTAAGTGAGTATTTGAGGGAGTAAATGCTCAGCATTAGCTGTGATTATTAAAGTGTTCACCCAAATATCCACCCAATTCTTACTTCTTGAGATCTCTGCTCAATATCACTTCATCAATGAGTAGTCTGACATTTCCTATCCCTTTCACCTGCCTAATGTTTCTCAATGGTTCCTACTGTCATCTGACATGTATTTAATGCCTGCATCTACTGCTCACCTCCATCATCCCTGATTGGAATATAAGCTCTACGAAGGGAGACATTTCACCTGCTCTATTCACTGCATTATTCTCAACAACTAGAACATAATCTGTAATATAACAGATCATTAGTATTTCCTATAAGAATAATAGTTCTTGGGGCCAGGGATTTAGCTCAGTGGTTTCGCCACTTGCTGCGCAAGCGCCAAGGACCTGAGTTCAATCCCCGGTACAAAAAAAAAAAAAAAAAAAGAATAGTTCTTATTTAGAAATCCTGAAATATGAGGAGTCAGTTTACATGTCTGTCTTCCAAACAATATTCTCCAAAGGTGAGAACCCTGCCTTATTTTTGTTTGCATCACAATACCTACCGTTCCACACACTGCTATGTGAAAAATACATCAACAACTAAGTGCTAGCTTTCTCTGGGATTTTATCCCAATCCTCTAACAGTTGCTTCAGACTTCTCTTCATTTCATGACCACCAAGGAGCTTTCCTTTATTGCCTCTCTAATAATGACTGTTAAAGCCAAGTCTCTGAGAACTGCTTCAGACTGATATTCAACGATCATATCTATTGGGCTTTATTATCTTTGACATTTTGCCCTCCTTAGTCAGAATTTGGGAGATGAAAAAAATGTCACATTTGTTTAAAAAATAATATACCCAGAAATATTTTAAATATGATCCCTATATAGCTGTGAACCCAGACATGGGGCATAAACATTATTATATGTATGAAAATGCTACAGGGTAGAAGAGAAGGGAAACTGATGAAACCAGTTAGTTTTATCCTTGAATAAAGGCTTTGTCAGCATGGTTTGGGTGCTCAGTGAAACAAAGAAAAGAGTGATCCATTTACTGAGAAATGAGACTAACATTAATGGCCTTCCTAAAAGTTCCTTCTCTAAAGCCAAACCAAAAAGGTACTGAGGTTTTACAGGCTTGTCTTTGTACATAGAAGATGGCATCATGAAGGCTCCCAAGAGTGAATAACAAAACAAAAACAAAGTGAATAGTGGGAGGTTTCCCACCTCCAACCAGAGCATGGAACTTTCTGTACGAATATGTGTCTTAAAAAACAAAAATATAAAAACAAATATGCTCCTTGTCTCTTGCCCTCAAGTATGTTGACATAGGAATTCTGCCTTGAGGTTTCAGAGATTGATAGTGATAAAAATATTTTTCCATTTTATAAAAATTTATTTTTATATCACCCACAAAGAACTAGCTTGCAGTTTTAAACTAATAGTAAAATTTTTATTTCTGAAATCTCTCTCCAGAATGAAGAAGATACTGTTTCTGATATATGACTCCTCCAAGACACTTCTTTAAATATGCTATAATTATTTTATATATGTAGTATATAAATTATATAAATATATTTATATATGTATTTTAAATATTCTCTGCTATAAGAAGCTATATATTATCTTTTATTTGCCTTTGTATTCCCAGTCCCCTTCACATGTTATAGGCATTCAAAACAAAACGGTGAATAAATATACCACTCCCTGCTGATTCTTCATTTAGAGCATAACCAAACAATTTATTAAAACTTTTAAATACTTTTTCTTGCCTTTACTCATTTTAATGTACCCTACTTTAGGAAGAGCTCAGCCAGCACTTCTGATAATGAATAAAATAAATAAGTAAATATTTCATATGGGAAATTTTTTAAAAACTTGTTTTTCTTCCTGTTTCACCTCTCCCCTAATCTCCACAATCTTAGAAAACAATATTGGGCAGACAATTTTAATAGTTCTGTGATTTGAATATTGTTAATTTAAATATTGTGAATTGGCTGTCACATTAACAATGGCTGCTATAGTCACTGAAATGGGGATGCTAACTAAGATGCTGTGGATGAACTCAATGAACCTAGAGAAATCAGTGTGCATTTTCACATAGAATCCATATGTAGTGTATAAAGCTAATCTCGACTCCTTCAAAGGATAAATTACCCCAAAAATGGCTTTTCCTCTTACTTGTGTGAGGTCTATGCATCATTTAAGTTTAATTCTTTATCTCTGCCCTCTCTTGAAGCAGAAAAATCTTACCTTGGACATATCTGTTACTAGGGTAATTCATGTTTTTGGTCTCCTACAACAATGGCAGGGGTTTTATGATTTGCTTAGTTATCAAAACCAATTGTGAGAGGTCAAAATCAGGGTCCAGAGTGGAAAAATATGTAAGTAAAGGACTGAAGGAAAGTCCATTTAAATTCCTGAGAATATTTTCAAAATGACTTGGAAAATTAAAATGGAAAGATTTCCAGAGAGGAAAAATTATGCATAAAATGTTACTACTATGTTCATAACAGACTATGAAGAAAACCACTGCCTAGATTATCACAGGGAGAGAAATTATAGCTTCTGACTACAAAGAAGAAATTCAAGTTTTACTATTCCTACAGTCCAAGTAGATCACTGCCAACATACTACAAAGGTTGGTTGGTAGAAAAATGTCATGCTGGCCAGGAATGGTGGTTCATACCTATAATCCCAGCTACTAGGGGGCTAAGGTAGAAGGATCACAAGTCCGAGGCTAGCCTGGGAATCTTAGTGAGACCCTGTCTCAAAATTAAAAAAAAAAAAAAATGGTAAAGGGATATCACTCAGTGGTAAAGTGCTCCTCGGTTTGATCCCCAGTGTTGAGAGGAGGGGCCTGCAGGGGAGCCGTGATGTGGTATTGGATCAAAGCTGTAACATATTTACTACCTTTAAATACTTCAAAGTCTAGAAATCTAGTTAAAGGAAATAATGTAGATAATTTTAGGCCATACTCTGCACCATTATTTATAAGAGTAAAAATTGGGTTAGCGTAACTGTCCAAAAATAGGAGAATGCTTAGTCAAGTAAGCAATGGTAGATATATACAGTGAATATACAGTCATTTAAAAAGATGTTTCTACTTCATCTCTTAGGATACACTAAGACTGAAAGGGAAAAGATGGAAAAAGATCTCCATGTAAATGAAAACCAAAGCAAAGCAGCAGAATCTATATTCGTATCAGATACTTTAAATCAAAAACCATAGATAATTATATAGTAATAAAGGAGCTGATTCTCAACAATTGTAAATATATATGCAAAAATATGCACCCAACATTAGCATCTAAGCACACAAAGTACATACAGTATTAACAGATCAGAAGAAGAGGTACCTGCAACACAAAAGTACCAGGAAACCTTAGTACCCCATTGGCAACATTGGAAAGATTTAGACAGAAAAATCAATAAGGAAACATTTATAATATCTTCCATCCAAAAGAAAAAGAATACACATTCTTTTCAAGTGCACATAGAACAGTCTATAGAACAGATCATACGTTCATCCACAAAACAAGTCTTAATAAAGTTCAGAAGACTGAAACTATATTTTAGTATTTTTTTTCTGGTCACAATGGCATGAAATTATAGACTGTTAACAGGAGGAATACTGGAAAAAAACTCACAAATATGTGAAAATCAAACATAGTCCTGAACAACCAATAGACCAAGAATAAATTTTAAATTACCTTTAAACAAACGAACACAGGAACATGACATAACAAGACTTAGAAGCACAGCAAAAGCAGTTCTGAGAGGGAAGTTTATAGTAATGAGCACATCAAAAAAGGAAGATCACAAATAAATTATCTAATGCTATACTTCTAGTTCAAAGAACTAGAAAAAGAACAAACTAAGTCCAAACTTCAGAAGAAAGGAAATAACAATGATCAGAGTAAAAATAGAATAGATTAGAAAAACAATTAAAAAGATTATAGAAGGTAAGAGTTGATTTCTTAAAAAAAGATAAAACCAATAAATATTTAGCTAGACTAAGAAAGAAAAAGAGATGATTCAAACAAAATCAGAAATCAGAAATGAAAATCATAAATATTGGATTACAGCTGATACTACTGAAATACAAAGGATTATCAAGACTACCCCGAATGCATATAC